AATACAGAAAAAACATATTATATAATACATACAATACATATACAATACATATAAAATATATTAATCGCTTGTTATTTTTGAACTGTAGGAAAAGAGTTTAATTCTTTTGGGGTTTTTCAATAGGGGGATAGCCGCTGCTCTCGGCCCAGAAGCTGTCTTAACCAAGCTTAACCCTGAACAGTACAAAAAAAAATAATGATAATTTGGATGAAAATTAATGGTCATGTACAAAATTGATTATCAATGGCATGGTCGATGACTAATTTGGTCGACAACCAACTGAACAAATATATTTTTTTAATAGCCAGTGATTTAGGTGACCCACCCCCTTCCCCCACTCGGTAAGGACTCTTACTCACGTCTTAGTGTCAGAAGTCAGTGTAATTTACAATATCCAAATTATGGATTTTAACAACACAAAACCAATATAAACTCGAAAACAAATTTAAGAGTTTAGCACGATTGAATACAATTAATAGAAAATTTAAGAGAAAAGATGAGTTGGTAAAAGTTAACAGGTGAAAACGTTTTCGTTTCTAAATTGCGCCTTAGTACAAGAGGTTGTGTAGTGACAAATAACGGAACTTTTGTCGTCTTTGATTTATATCCTGAAATTCTTCTTTTTTTTATTAAGAATTTTGATATATTTTTTGCTTGAGATATACAAACTTTCTTTATTTCATTTCACATTAGGATAGAATTTTTGAATATTAAAAAAAATTACTAATCAATGTCAAAATAAGTTAATTTTTAATCAACAATGAATGAAAATGTTTTTACAAAATTTTTGTAATTTTTCAAATTTCAATTGTTGAAAAAACATATCTTTTGCAAAAAACTAAATAAAAGGAAAAAATATTTTTAGTTTTCAAATAAACATAATTTTTGAATATTATATTAAAAAAATTAATTAAGAAACAAATTTTAAAAAATATTGCTGATGTATATTTACAGTGTACAGTGTACACATATATAATGTATATATCTGTACGACAGGATAGTACAGGACAGTACAACACAGTGCATAGAGTACTGTTCAGTATACATGTATATTTGTTAACCATTAACTTAAGACCTCTGTGTAATGTCGTCTTCAACTTAAAATCCCCTCTCGGAGACACCAAACCAAATAATTTCAGCCCCCATTTTCTTTGTACTCCGGGGACAGAGCCTAAAACACTTTCGATTATTGTGAACCCATAAAAGTTAAACAAGAATATTTTCATATGAAGAATTAGTGAATTTCGTTAAATATTCAACTGTCATTTATTTCAGAAGTTTTAATAAAAAAAACGTCCTTCAACACTGATCAACAAAAAGTTACCCTTTATCATCCCCTAATAAATCGTAAGATTTTTTCCAATATTAACATTCATTATAACATATTACAAGTAACCATGATCTATAATTTATGTTATTTTTTTTAGGAAATAAAGCTTTTGTTATCGATTTTCTTGAGACGGGGTTACTTTGTTGTGTGTGTTTGCGGCCAACCGGGAAAGATTTGTCCGGGGAGAATAAATATCCCCCACCAGAATTCCGACGGGCCTATTATTCAAGTTTGTCTGGTGTGTTGCTGTTATCTGTCAACAATATTATATACATACATATATTTGTAGGACAGTGTACACTGTACATAGGCATAATATTAGCAATTTGAATTTGAACATGAATAAAAACACATATTTTAGTTTATAAGTTAGTCCAGTTCAAGAAGGGGAGGGGTGGATTCTTGTAAATACAATTTTTGTACGCTTTATTTTAAGATTTATAAATATGCATTTATTTAGTGATTTAATTCACACATTCAAGATTCTTATCTATTAATACAAATTGACGTCAGCTCTTAGGTAACAAATTATAAGCTTCCCTCTTCAACACTATATCACTTTTAGTTTATCCAATTTTTATTTCATATTTTCATGTTCTTTTTCTAAATTTTTCAAAATTAAAAACGTTTTTTGGCAATACGTCTTTTTTAGTAGACGTTGAAAACATTTGCCCAATTTTTAAGATAATTTGTAGAACGTTATAAAAAAAACTTGATATTTCATTTCTTTTTATTTGGTTAAGAAATTGTTTTGAGTTTTGGCAAACTGAAATTTTTTTTAACGAAAAAAGCAAAGAAAGCTAATAATTAAACGCTCTGAAAGCAAAGAAAGCTAATAATTGAACGCTATGAACGCAAAGAAAGCTAATAATTGAACGCTCTGAAAGCAAAGAAAGCTAATGATTGAACGCTCTAATGCAAAGAAAGCTAATAATTGAACGCTCTGAAAGCAAAGAAACCTAATAATTGAACGCGTTGAAAGCAAAGAAAGCTAATAATTGAACGCTCTGAGAGCAAAGAAACCTAATAATTGAACACTCTGAAAGCAAAGAAAGCTAATGATTGAACGCTCTAATGCAAAGAAACCTAATAATTGAACGCTCTGAATGCAAAGAAACCCTAATAATTTAACGCTCTGAAAGCAAAGAAACCTAATAATTGAACGCTCTGAAAGCAAAGAAACCTAATAATTAACGCTCTGAAAGCAAAGAAAGCTAATAATTGAACTCTCTGAAAGCAAAGAAACCCAATAACACAACTATCTGAAAGCAAAGAAACCTAATAATTGAACGCTCTGAAAGCAAAGAAAACTAATAATTGAACGCTCTGAAAGCAATGAAAGCTAATAATTGAACGCTCTGAAAGAAAAGAAAGCTAATAATTGAACGCTCTAAAAGCTAAGAAACCTAATAATTGAACACTCTGAAAGCAAAGAAAGCTAAGAATTGAATGGTCTGAATGCAAATTAACCTAATAATTGAACGCTCTGAAAGCAAAGAAAGCTAATAATTGAAAGCTCTGAAAGCAAAGAAAGCTAATAATTGAATGCTCTGAAAGCAAAGAAAGCTAATAATTGAACGCTCTGAAAGCAAAGAAACCTTAAAATTGAACGCTCTGAAAGCAAAGAAAGCTAATAGTTGAACGCTCTGAAAGCAAAGAAATCAATTATTGAACGCGTTGAAAGCAAAGAAAGCTAATAATTGAACGCTCTGAAAGCAAAGAAAGCTGAACGCTCTGAAAGCAAAGAAGCCTAATAATTGAACGCTCTGAAAGCAAAGAAAATTGAACGCTCTGAAAGCAAATAATTGAAGGCTCTGGAAGCAAAGAAACCTAATAATTGAACGCTCTGAAAGCAAAGAAAGCTAATAATTGAACGCTCTGAAAGCAAATAATTGAAGGCTCTGGAAGCAAAGAAACCTTATAATTGAACGCTCTGAAAGCATAGAAAGCTAAGTATTGAACGCTCTGAAAGCAAAAAAAGCTAATAATTGAACGCACTGAAAAAGCACAAATAATTATTTATGCTCAACAAAATCTGACTTTTTATATTTCATTTGATTCTTACAGAATTTATAGTTTGCAACATCTAAGGTCTACGACTTCGGGTTGCAAAGATACAGGGATTAGAAATATTCGAAGAGTTTGAGGGAAATATTCGAATCCTTTGAATTAAAATGACCAGTTTTGATAGTAAACTAAAACACAGTTTTAATGTAACTTGTTGCTAAAGTTTTTTCATGATCGGTCAAAGATATCTTTTTAGGGACCTGAGGGCGAATTTTAGCCGCGGCTTAAATTTGAGATGCGGCTCAAATATGGATGTTTAATTTGAAATTATATTCAATGTTTAAAGATTTAAGCTGGCGTTTAATTGAAACCGGTTTTCGGCGGATTTGAGACGCGACTCAAATTAATTAGATTCTGACAATGATGATTTTAACATTGAGGAGCCAATTAACAATGCGCATTAAACATATATATTTCAGTTTCTTGACAATTTAGAATATTTATCACTTTAATTTGGCCGAATAAGGAGACAATGGACGTATTCAAGATGAAAATCACAAAGATGTTTAATAAATCAAAAATTTGTAAAAAAGCAACGAGAAATTTGAATTATTGCCAAACTTATTAACTAAGTTACATTGTAATAATTTCATAGTTTGTCATTAACATTAAAGACTACACATCAGTACCCTGTAAAACTTTTTCTGAAAAAAACGTTTTACTATAGAACACAGCGCTTTTCACAAAACAAGAGACTTAAATGTCGCTTCAATTTGGTCTTCTGCTTAGAACATACATAGTCTTGATCAATGAACTATATACAGGAACGCCCAACTCAGATATACGCATATTATGTACTGTAGTACACTGTGGGAGGAATGTAAACAAACCCAGTGCCCCCGCAGAAGTTGAAGGGAAAGCACTAAAGCTCTGATGTGATATTACAGTCCAAGAAAAAACGAGTTAAATCAAGTTAGAGCGAATACAATGATTTTTGGCTTTCTGGTCAATATGGAAAATAAAATAGCAATATATTTTCTTCCAGCCAGCTCTTGGGCCCTTTTCCCTCAAAAATGATGCGTTGCCCCTGAATTCTTTGTTTTGATCTCCTCCCACTGCAGTACACAGATATGGCGGTTCCTGGTCTATATATTTCTTGGTCTTGCTAAATGAAACTTTAGATATGATTGTACATACTCTTCAGATTGTAGAACATATCTAAAAGAGTTTTATGTCGTCATTGCAATGTAATTTTTTGTGGGTAACTTTGTATGTAAATACATTAGAATTACTGGACCAAGCAATATACATATATAATAATACATATATTAATACCTACATATATAAACTATAAGATTGTTAACATATGTGTCAAGGTGAAACTATAATTTCATTAAAATGTCATTTAAGGGACAAATTGAAAAATTAGAACTCACTTAGAAATTACAAAAACTAAGATCATTATTCATTAGAGGTTGAATCTTAATTTCGATATTTCAAAATTTGTTTGATAAATTAAAAAGCTAGTTTTTTCACATTTATACATTTATTATTTTTTAAGGAATTATTACAATTGTTTCTGAATTCAGTGTTGCAGAACAGATCATTTTTGAGAATTTTTTTCTCTCTGACATCACTAAAAAAGTAGAATAGTTATGAAAAAAATTGTCTCAGATTTATTTAAGACTTGAATCGAATAAAAGTTGGGATTGGCACAACATGGATTTCATTAAAAAAAGTGCATAGTATCACCCTTAATCTAGGTTTAAACAGGAGAAATAGGACTAGTAAATGAAATGAGATTTAATCAATTTATCCAAGGGGTTAAGCTTTTATAGTTTCCAGAAAAATATGCCAAGTTCAGAAAAAAACAACGATATCTTCCACATTCTTGATCAGATTGAGGTTAAAAGTACACCATTTAAATTTGGGTTTTGCGATCTTCGCATGAAGGGTCACTTAAAATTTCGCTTACAGTCCCTTTAACGTTTAGGGTTTTGTAGAATAATTAGAAAAATCTCATTATCATATTATTTATTGTCCGAATGTTGAGATCGTTCGTAATTATAGTTCTGGTTTAATTCTTCTTCTACTTCCTTTATCACTGTCTCCCTAAACAAACATTATAAACACAAAGAAAAAATAAAAAAAATCATTAAAAAAATAAGTAATGACCCAAAAATTCTACATGAAAACTGAAAAATAATTTTTTTTAAAATTTTGAACACGAAGAACATATAATAAACCCTAAAATATATCTAACAGAGACACCTAGCGGCGTATTTTCAAAACTTGTACCTTGTCTCTGCAGACTGTGTGGATATAACGAGGTTTTGTAATGTTCGACCTCTGTGCCGTTCATCCTCTTAAACAAGGTAAAAATTTTCAATTGAAACTTATGTTTGCGTGATTTTTATGTAAATCTTAGCTTGAAGTTGTAAATATCTAAAGTAAAGCTGTATACTGTCTAAAGTAAAGCTGTAAATATCTGAAGTGAAGCTGTAAATATCTGAAGTAAAGCTGTAAATATCTAAAGTAAAGCTGTAAATATCTAAAGTAAAGCTGTAAATATCTAAAGTAAAGCTGTAACTATCTAAAGTAAAGCTGTATTTTGTCTTATGAAAGGAAATTTTTGTAAAATAGGAAAAGTCTTTTAAAATTAAAGAATATTTGCTTGGATTAAAATACCTTACCTAGATTTGCCATAGCCCGCAACAACTCCTCTCTGAAAAAATATAATTGATAAAATGTAAAAAAATGTTGATTATCATAAGAAGATAAAAAATCTAAAAAAACAAATTAGATTTTTTATCTCAATCCTCTACTGCACTATTTTTCGTTTTTTTTGCCATATTTTTAATTTTAATTTTTACATTTTAATTAAAAAAACGAACCTTAACTTGACGAGCTCCCCTTGGAGTGTCTCAACCTCAGCGTTTTGTGTTCCAATCCTATGCAGCAAATCAACCTGGACAAGATATTAGTATTTGTATCTTACCACACTTATATTTACATATGAAGCAGGGGTGTATATTTTATCGAAAAATCACTCTCCCCCCCTCTCATTACACAAATTATTTTTTCCCACAGAAGTTATATATGCTGTTATGAAGGACGCCTCAACTGTACACACTGCACAAATTTATTAATATTCAATTGTAAGCTACTCCTGTAAAACCATGTAAAGACGACATTTAAAAACCCTTTTCAGTGTCTTTTTTCGTCCCAATGATATTTTTATGACCAAATTAGGTTATATGACCAAATAATGTTACAAAACCAAATAAGGTAAGTGATCTAATCACATTATCGGGAAACTGACCTTAAAAACTTATTATATTATCGAGTTTTATAAACAATATCGAGTATTTATAATTCCTTATTATATTAAGGATCAGTTTTTTTATTCCGTCTAGGTTAAATAGTTTGTAGTAAATGCCTACTCTATAACAATTTCTGGGAACATATCAATCGGAAGCTTGTAACTATTGATCCCAAATTCAAGGGAACGATCCTCAACCTGTTTATCAAAACAGGGACGATTACTCTCTCCTAGTGAACAGTACGGAGTTACTATATCAACTAGTGTATTTGAGGTTTATATGTTACAAGTTAAAGTTAATAGACGTAAATTACAATTCCTACGTCGATATCTATATCACATGATTAAGGCAATCTCATTACGTATTATAGCATTTTATATCACAGGATTAAGCTAATCCTGCTACGTATTTATTTGAAACGCAGTTCAAATGAATAATGGGTTTTACGTAGAAGTTTACAAACATAGATAGTTAATAATGTACAACGTATTGCAGGTTTACAGAATATCATGTTACCCAATATTTATTAAAAGTACACTAAACTAAGAATGCAGTACCATGTCAGAGTTTATTTTGACCCCTAGCTATTTGACCCATAAATGTCAGTGAGTACACTCCATTACCCAATAACCCACCATGTCAGAGTTTAGTAGTTTGACCGCTAGCTCATTGACCCCATCAAGGTCAAAGAGTGCACTAAACTATCCAATAACCCACCTTGTCAAAGTTAGATTTGACCGCTAGCTCATTGACCCCATCAAGTTTAGTAATTACACTACACTACCCAATAACCCACCTTATCAGAATTTAGTTTGACCGCTAGCTCATTGACCCCATCAAGTTTAGTAAGTACACTCCACTACCCAATAACCCACCTTATCAGAGTTTAGTTTGACCGCTAGCTCATTGACTCCATCAAGGTCAGTAAGTACACTATCTCTAGCTATCCTGTTGTCCTGAAGGTCTGCAGTCAACATATCAACCTGTACAAAAAAAAAGAGTCTTATTGAGATTTATCACATACTAGGCTTTCAGGGAGCTTCACACCCGTCTTCTCAATTGCGAAAATTTTCTCTTTTTATACATTGTAAAACAAAAGAAAAAAGTTCGCAAATTGTATAAAATTTGTTTATGGATTTTCAAAATTTAATGAAAATCGAATTTTGTTAGAGGCTAATGTTTGAAATTTTGATCATCCATAAATCTTCCCTAGGGTCATGTGAGGTCCCACACAAAATTTAGGCCCGATTGGTTCAGCCATTTTGACGTTAATTTGACAAAAACAGACAAACAGACAAACGTATATTATGATATTGCTAAAAGAAGTGCGCTTCAAAATGATCCTACCTTTGCATTGAGTGTGATTATCTGAGTTCTAAATTGTTCATTTTGTCGGAGAACCTCTTCAACATATTTATCTAGTCCTTCACATCGGGCCTAGAAGTCAATCAATCAATCAATCAACCATTGAGTTAATTAATAACTTCATATTAGTCAATTAATTAGTCATCCAATCAACAAACTAACCCACCAAATATGAATCATATTAGTGAATCAGTGAGGTTATTGATTGATTAATTAATCACCTTAGCAGCCTCTAAGTCCGACTGTTTGGCTTTGATTTCAAGAACCAGATTATCTGTTTGCATCTCTAGGGTTCTGTTTATCGTCTCTGTTTCATGGTTTTCCTGAACATCATTAGGATTCAGTTCTAACTCCAAGTCTCATGGCATTGGACAGCTCATGACTAGGACTGGGCGTCGTTCCTGGGGAACGATTGTTCTTTTACGGGAACAAACAGAATCATCAAGAATGACGCCATTTTAGCGAAAAAAAGATCGAATGCATTTAACACCTTCTTGAATATATTTGAACGATCTAGAAATTAATAAACGTGGAACAAACAATAATTTGTTGAAAAGAATGGTCTGGAGCGGTCTATCAGAAACACGTTCTAAATCAGGAACTTATTCTAAATCTAAAGGAATTGAGTCTTTGCCACAAACTCTAATTTTCTAAACCCAATATTGTATACCTAAGATATTTCCAACTATGAATAAATTTATCAACTGTTAACTAAGAACTGGAGGAGATCATGAACAAAAGGGAACTTAGCAGAATGGAATGGAACGATTAGAAAAAGAAGGAACGAGGAACGAACGATTACAAAAAAATAGGAACATGCCCAGCCCTACTCATGGCACTACACCTAGGTTTGATCAGACTGATTCGCCAATTTTGCCATCAAATCTAGAAGTATTTCTATTTGAAAATACACAATACTTTCATTATCATAATCTTATACAAGCTGATTTGTATCCCCCTGGCGACCGAACCTGGCACTAACCAGGGGCCTGCAGTAGCACACACTCCTAAGTTTGCTTACCCTTGAAAGTTCCTCGAACTGAATAAGAATCCTCCTCCTGTCCTTCTCCTTGTCCTCTAATACAGCCTCTATCCTCCGAACCTAAGAGGGAATGTTTCAATGGGTGTTAGGTATTTCCCCAAAGGCAATTTCCCAAGGGCAACTTCCCTAGTGACAATATTCCAAGGGGCAACTTTCCAAATGAGCAATTTCCCAAGCGGCAACTTCCCAAAGGTTAGGTTAGGCCTTCCGACGCACTTCAGGCTGCAATTGGGACCGAGCGCTGCAGCTAGGATAGACTAGGGGTCAAGCGCTGAGGCTAGGATAGACCTGGGAAGTTGCCGCTTGGGAAATTGCCCATTTGGGAAGTTGCCACTTGCAAAAATACCCATGGGAAGTTGCCGCTTAGGAAAATGTCATTGGGAAAGTACCTAACATCTATCAATGAGCCTGAAACTTAACCTCACTATCACCCGGAACCTGAACCTAATCCTTTGTCTGGCCCTGATCCTAAACCAGATCCTGAGAAGGCAGAGCAGGGTCTGACAAATTCTATTTCTCTTCAAATGTTAGATGCTATGAAACTTGAACTTGAAAATATGTAATGCTATTACTTTACTTTCTATCATAATGTGAACCCGTTTTTTAAATCTTTAAATGTGTTCGCAAAGAATAAATATTTATATATCAATGTTTTTCTGTCAAAAATTTATCAAGATAATTGAGCTTCCCTACCTCTGTAATATACTTTTGCAGTTCTATCTTAAGAATATTGATTTCATCAGCCTTGTCTTGGTTCTCCCGAACCTTCTCCTTATACTCAACATCCAACCTTTGATAAATAAATAAAAGGATGATTAGATGATAGGTGTATGAATGAATGAATGAATGAATGTGTATCTGAATAAATTAATGAATTAACTTTTACCTAGAATACTCTTCCTTCAGGGATGAGTTCTCTGAAGAAATCTTCTTCGATGTTTCATCTGATCTACTCCATTCATCCTTCATCCTTCTAAACTCCTTCTCCTTTTCCTCAATCCTCTTCTCCTTCTCCTTTATCCTCTTCTCTCTCTCCTTAACGCTTCTCACCTCCCTCTCCCTATGATCCACCTCATCCTTTTCAATTCTTTTTAATCTTTCAATTTCATTCTCTGTCTCTTCAATTTTTCTTCTCCTGAAATAGAACCAGTTTTCTTAAACCTATCAGTATTTCAATAACAAAAATTCTTTGAGTTTACTGTGGCCGTTTTTTATTTTTCCCAAGAACGTTTTGAGATGGAATAGTCGAATAAAGCAAAAGTAAACTATTTAGTGTATAATTCAATTATGGTTTCTTTTGTTTTACATCCATGTTGCTCTGATTCAGATACAACAATAATTATAAAATAAATTAGATTGGTTTTATATTCCTAGATGAGAGATCCTTTTCAAGCTCCGCCAATTTGTCCCGTGTGGAGCGCTCCTTGTCCAATGCCGAGGTTTTTTCATCCAAGAGCCTGCGCACCAGATCTTCCTTCTTGTCCAGTTTAGCCCTGAGCTGGTCTCCAGTAATGTTGGCCTGACTAACAGCGTTCTTCAGCTGAAGTATTTGAGAACTCTGCTCATAACATCGTTTACTATTCTCTAGAACAACACGCAATCAATAAGCGTTATTAGTGACCCTGCAAGCAAAGATGATAATAACCGATTAACAACGGTACACTTAAAAGCTTTGACTGATCAAATATTAATTCGATATGCATGTTTTTGCTCATTCAATAGGGTTTCCAGTCGTATTTACGTTGTTTTGCGAAATTAGGTTGTAGAAATTACGCAAAACTACGCCGTAATTACTCATAATTATAGTTTCACTTATTACGCGAAATGGATATTTCCCCAATTACGTGTAATCCTACGAAATTACACGAAATGAAAATTATTACGCGTCACTGCACGTAATTACGCGTAAGAAAAAAATCTGTTACGTTGGAAACCCTATTATTCAATCTGTTTATCTTCATTTGTGGTTTCTCTGCAAATGTGTTAGTGACTTGCACATTTCTTGCTAGGAAGAAAAAAACACTTTTTGAGTCAGAAAAACGACTTTATCTCTGACATTTGTTATCAGATTATGTTTTCAAGGGTACAGTTGTGTATAGGAGATGCCCATTTTAAAATAAAGCATCACTTGAAATTAAGCTTGCAATCCCTTTGAAGCGATTCGTAATTCAAAATATGAGCAAAGAAAAATAAGGTCGAGGGGAGATAGAGGAATAATTAGTTTAAAAGAAAATACTTACCAGCATTCTGGTTCTGATTTATCTTCAAAGCATTTTCTGTGTTCTCCAGTAGCTTCTCTAAATGAACAATCTTACTCTGGAGTCCAGCAGCAGTACGGTGTACTCCAGCTAGTTCCCGTTCACATAGGTCATGTACACTTCCTGGACCTCCAACAACTCCACCTTCACTTTCAGGACCACCACCTACACTTCTAACTTCTCTACCACCTAGTAAATTTTGTACATAGAAAAGATGATCATAGTGCTATTGCAGAAAGTGATTGATTTTTGCTAGATTTCAACCCTACTGGTACTGTAGGTATGTACAATGTTTTTCCATCTACATCCCCCATTCTGTGTTTATCATTCATGTCCCTGCTAGATTTCAACCCTACTGGTATTGTAGGTATGTACATTGTACAATGTTTTTCCATCTACATCCCCCATCCCGTGTTTATCATTCCTGTCCCTGCTAGATTTCAACCCTACTGGTACTGTAGGTATGTACAATGTTTTTCCATCTACATCCCCCATCCTGTGTTTTTCATTCATGTCCTGCTAGATTTCAACACTATGTACAATGTTTTTCCATCTACATCCCACGTTTTTCATTTATGTAATTTTCTTCATAGTCTCTCAAGTTATCCACGTGCATCCTCTCTTCAAACCCTTTAACTCCAATTTTGCATATTTTCCCCTTTCTCTAATTAATTCTCACTTCAAAGTATCAAAAATTATGTCTACTGTTAGACATTATACCTACACCCCTCCATCCATCCTTTCCTTTAAAATATATGTCTAAAAATCATGCCTGATCTCAAATATTAAATGCAAAAAAGTTACATCATCTAAATTACTTTTTAATCTTGTAAATGACAAAAGTATTTTTTCCTCAAAAAATGCAATTTTTTTTAATAAGTGCCATTAAACCCCCTCCGCTTAATGGATTTTAGTAGTAAAATAATATGAACTGAAATCGAAACTTTGTGTTGAGTATCATTAATCTTAAACGCTTGATCTCAACATCCAATGTGGACACTTTTATATTATAGAAATGTATAACCCGTTGATCCCTTAATCAATGCAGAGTATGACCACCGCGGGAGTTGGAATAGAAATTAAATTAATCCGATGGTCTGCATGCATAAGATGAAGATCAAAGCTAGATCCCAAGATTTACAGAACATAAGTTCTGATTGAACTGTAGGAAGTACCTGACGCCGTTGATGGAAGGTTTGGAGATGATTTAGATTTATTAATCTCTGTAACATGAACTCTGCCATCTTGTTTATCTCTTGAGGATCTCATCTCTTGGAGATATCTCTCCCTCTGTATCTCTAGACTAGATCTTTCTTTCAGAAGAATATCTCTTTCCGCCTCAATTCTGAATCTCTCAACCTTTAGTCTGTCCTGGTCCGCCGCAAGCTGGAGAGATTCCGCCTCAAGCTTAGCTTTTTCCGCCTTTATCATCTCTTTCTCCGCCAGTTGGTTTCGCGGTGAGGTTTGAGTACCCTTCTCTCCACCCCTCTTCAAGCAATAATAATAAATCATTCATACAAAATAAAACTATAAAAAAACGGAAATTAACGTACATGGGATTTAAGTTGTCATATAAGCCATCTTTGTTTAACCAAAATATTGCAAAGCCTTTAAAATATAGTGTTGCTAGTTTTATTTAATGAATTTAAGATGTCTAAGACCTATGCAAATTTAATGCTGACCTGAAGTTGTGCAAGACAGTCCATAAGCTCTGCGCGCAGGTTTGTGACCTCTAGCTTGCTTAGGGTCAGTTCATCCTGCTTTCTGGAGAGTTCATTTCGAATCATATCCATCTTTCCTTTATCCAGGAATACATCCTTGTCAGCTTGAACACTCCCTTTTCCATCCCTGGTCCCTTCGTTAATACCCCTGGCCCCTTGTATTGTACTTTTAGACTGGATTGTTGTACGTAATTGACTAGCTGAATGTACATCATTAGATTGCGAATTTTCAACACGCGGTACAAAGCTGCCCGTACTAGTTTGCTGTTGTACAGGCTTGCTGTTGTTGTTGTACACTGGTTCATTTGTACTCAGAAATCTGCAAACAAAATGTTGCGACAAATATTCAAAAATTTTACAATTTACAAATAAAATAAAATGTAAACAAAAAGAACATGTTCACAATTTAAATAGAAGATGGGCGCGAAGCGCCCTAAAAGCCTAGTATTCAAAAATATTACAATTTACAAAGAAAAAGCACAATTTTTAAGCCAAGAACGACGACAGTAAAAAATAAGTAATAAACAATAGCAACATTTATAAAAAACAACAGAAATCATACCTGGGTTGTATTGAATCAGATTTAAGTTGTTGTATCAAGGTTTGCACTTGATCCTTGTACCGGTCCCGCTGTTTCTCAATTTCCTGTTTCAGTTAAAAATATGATTTATCTTCAAATGATCCTCCATTACACTTTTACGTTCTCTTTTACGTTAGAAAAGGCCCAACTGAAAGGGGTTTAAGACACACCTATTTAAAACTCTAAAGACAAGTGAGGATGTATGAAAGAGACGGCTGGGATTGATAAAAGGAGTGACATGCCCGATTCACAACTGTACCCTCAAAAACTTTTTCTGGATGATGGATGACTTATTCATACTTGATAATGTGAATAAAATATTCATATCGTCCAGGTTTTTCTTTTGACAACTGTTTTTTTTTAATTTTTGGTTCCTCTGCAAAAGTGACTTGAGTGTTTCTTTTTCAGATACAATAAATAGAAATTATCCAAATGAAACACTTTTGAAGCCACAAAAACAACAATTTCTTCCACATTGTTAATCAGATCAAGTTTCAATCAGAAATTATTAATTTTTAATATAAAAAGGATTTTTTATTAATTTTTTTGTTCAGAGAAAGATCCAAAGGTTTCGAAGAAAATTTTCAAGGGTACCGGTGTGAATCGTACATACCTCTCTGATAATTAAGACGATTGTCCCGTTAACAAGTGTTTTGCTTTAGAGAAAAAGTAAATATTCAAATGCAGGGAAGGAAATTTCCAAATGGTGCTTATTAATTAGAACTTGCCCTTCGTTGTCAGTTCTAAACAAAATCCCGATTTAGATCTTTCCTCCCCTGAATTATATATTTTTTACCTGGACGAGATGTTTAACTTTATCCTGCTGAGGATCTTTACACAATAATACTTCAACCTATACAATATGATTAAAGGGACTGTAAGCATAATTTCAACTGACCCATGATGCAATGATGGTAAATCCGGATTCACAATGGTGTCCTTAAAAGCATTGGCTGACCAAGTATGAATCGGGCATTGCCATCTTTGCATGGAGGGTCACTTGAAATTACGCTTACACTCCCTTTAAGTAATATAATACACATTTTCCAAGAAAACCCCCTCCCCCCCGGATATATGAAAACTGGGGGGGGGGGGGGCTTCTGCAAATTCTTTCACGCATAAAAGGCCTATATGGGCTACATTTTTTAAAGATGGTTTTGTTGGCAATCTTAATCTATATCCTGAAGGAATGAGTCTAGAACCTACAGGATGGTTACAGAATCTTGGTTCATCAACAAGTTTAAATCTAAAATCTGTTTTATTTTATTTGTTTTGTTTTTTTCCTAGTTTTGTTTTATTTTTATTGTCTTTAATATTTTGGCAATTTTTTTTTTTTTAATTTAGTTTATGTTTATGCTTTTTTTTTATAGCTTTGGCTGTGATTTTTTATTTTGACTTATCATAATACCTGTATTTATACCCCCTTGCCCCAGTTAAATCCTACTTTCTCCCCTCTATAGTACTGTCGGTCAACTCGTTCCCTTCCCCCCCCACCTTCTAGAATCTTGTACTCGTACATTTTGTTCAGTTCCAACTTAAACACTACACCTCAAGGTTGGCCATATCAACTTTTATTCAACTTTTTCCATCCTTTTTTGTTTTGTGTAAAAAAACATTTGTTATTAAATGTATTTTTCCTTATCTTTTTGTTATAAAATAATAAGGTTGTTTTTGTATAGAATTGAGAAGGATATTTAAAATATCGAAATATATTTTCTCTGAGAACCATCAAGTTTTTTTTGAAGCAGTTGAAAAACCACAAAGGGATATTTACAGTATATTTTGAATAAACTAAAAATTCTCAATTTTCTAAATATATTTACCTGTTTATTTAATATATTTACCTGTTTATTTAATATATTTACCTGTTTATTCAATATATTTACCTGTTTATTTAATATATTTACAAATAAATAAATATATTCATTATACAATCAATATTGCTAAAGCAGTAAAATAAGTCTAGAACCATTTAAAGGAACGGCATGAGCCTAAATTAGAGGCGCATTCTGGGAATTGTCTGGGGGCCTCCACCACCAACCCCTGACTCAACCCTGATCAGTTATCAAACAATTTTATTGATAGTATATGATTGATATTAATAATTACTAGGTTTTTACCGAATTGATTTAATTGTAACTAGTTTATTACTTAAAACCATTAATATTTTTAAATTTTTATTAATTTTGGAGATAAAACTTGTTTTAAAAAAAGAAAGGATAATTTTTATAATTAATAGTTTAAACCTAAGTTGCTTTATTTCACGTTGAGCTTCGGCAAGCTTGCTGAGCGCGCTACGCTGCGCTTCCCTCGCCTCCTGCGTGCTTTCAGTTTCCTTCTTCAGATGAACCACCTCAACAGATGGGGGTGTATATTCAGGGACGAATATTTTCTTTTAAAATCATTCCCCAAGATGTCCAAGATGTCAAATTTAATATTTTTTCCCGTTCCCGCAGACCATGTTTTAATATTTTACCAATCAACCCTTGATATTTTACAAAATAGTCCTTTTTGCTATTTGCGAAATACTCAGTTTGTAAAAGTATTCGAATGTTTATAAGATTAATCCATCAATCAAACATTAACTTTTTCATTAATAAGTAAACTTGAACAAATTATTTAGATGATATAAATTGATCAGTTGACCAATTTATCAATTCTATATACATGTCAAATTAAAAATTGATTAATTGATTGATTAATGGTTAATTGATTGATTGATTGATTGATCAGCTGCTGAACCTGGCGTTGAAGACACTGTATGTGCTGACACAAATGGACCTCGTCCTCCAACAAACTATCCTCAAACCTACAAATCATGAAATTACAAGCTTGGCAACCCAGCTTTGCCTGGAAACTAAAGTTTTCATTTTAAAAAAAGCTAAAAACATTCCCTTGGTTCCACCGTGTTTTCCAATCAAAATGTTATGCAACTTGGTCAAGGATTTATATTTCATGATCTCCCAGACAAACTGGGATTTCTACTGTGTATATATAGACTAGCTTGGGAACCCAGCTTTGACTGGAAGCTAAGTTTTCCCAATAAAAAGTTAAAAAAGAACATACCCGTGGTTCTATCTACTTTTCAAATAAAATTAAAGGCAAATTGGTCAAGGTGTTCATAAGTTTTGATCAAACAGAGATTTATTTGCCTAAGTTTTCCCTATAAAAAAATTAACCTACTCAACTTAGCTTTAAATCTAAGCTAGGATTATTCACGTGGTTAATTTTAGTTTTCAAATCAACATTAAATTAAATTCCTTGCCTTTATAAATAGTCTACCTTGGGAACCCAGCTTTGCCAGAAACACATATAAAAACAGCCTTCTCAACTTGGAACTTTTAAACAAAGCTAAGAATATTCTTGTTCTTTTTAGTTTTCTAATCAAAATTAAAGGCAAATCGGTCAAGGGGCTCATAAGTTTTAATGGGACATATAACCAGACAAACAGACTTGTTTTTATACATAGACTAGCTCGGGGACCCAGCATTGCTTGGAAATTTAGTTTTCCCTATAAAAATTCAACCTTTTCAACTTAGCACTTTACAACCTAGCTAAGAACATTCCCGTGGTTCTGTCGAATTCCCGCATTATATAGATACATTTTTAGAGAACAAGTACATGACAAGGGCCAATCGATTTTATTTAAGAAAATTTTATTCAATTAGTTCGCGCGCTCTTACCTCACCCCCTTCTCGTTCCTGCAGGTGTAGCGCGCACAATTCGCGCAGGAGGAGGAACCCAGTTCTCCTGGTCCTTCCAGCCCTCCTAGAAACCAAATTTCTAAGGGACTGTTATCGAAATGTTAAGGGACCATCTGCATTTAAAGGTTCAACAATTCAAAAATAATTAACAAAGCTTTCTTTTGAATGTGATGTATGTGAATGTGCATGTGAAGGGAGATACAGCTGGCGCGGCCCGCCATACCATATGATTATACATGCTTTGCACTGCAGACGGTACTCCATTTGTATAAGAAATATTCAGAATAGGTTATTGTATACGCGGTAATTGTACATCAGACAAATATTTCTTATTCAAATGGAGTTGGCTCGTGCAAAGGAAAGAAAATATCTTGAGATACAAATTAAAAGTAATCCATTGTGAAGGGTTAATGGCTAAGATGTTAATGCCCGATTTACAACGGTACCCTTAAAAGCTTTATCTGATCAAGTATTAATTAGATATCCATGTTTTTGTTTCTTTTAACGGTTTATTTCATTTAAGGTTTCTCTACGAACATTTACGCATAAGAAGCAATGGAGAAGCTATTACAAATAAACACAGAAAAACGAGAGTATCTTCCACATTTTATTAGAATAAGGTTTCAAAACATTTTTTAGGCAAATAATGTGGCAGATATTCGCAATTTCCTGCCTTAAAAAAAGAGTTCATAATTTAAAAAATTTCCTCCTTTGTTTTTGTAGAGGAAATCCGCTACTCACTTTTGTAGAATAAACCCCAAAAGTTAAAAACATAAATATCTCATTCTTTGATCATAATTAATGGGAACCGTTGTGAATCAGACATTTTTTTCGAAAAGATCAATTCAAAATGAACTTTTATTTAAAAGGGAAAAGGAAATGTTTATATACGACTGCAAGTTGACAATGAATCATAATATAGAATACTAGCTGAAGGGCCCGGTGTTGCCCATGGATTTTTTTTTAATTTGAGAAAAAAAAATTCGAATATTTTTAGCCTATAAAACCCCCCGGATACTGTACTGTACTGTACTGTACTGTACTGTACTGTACTGTACTGTACTGTACTGTACTGTACTGTACTGTACTGTATTGTACTGTACTGTAATGTTATGTACTGTACTGTACTGTATACTGACCTGGTTTAACAAGCATGTATTTTCTTCAGTAAGACCGTGCAACTCTCGTCTGAAAAAGAAACTAATCAAATACTAAAAAAAACTTGGACAAAAATGTACGTCTAATATTTGAATTACAAAGTTTGACATAAAGTGAATTAGTGAGTTTACCTAATTTCAGTTGACTGAGAGCTAGGTTGAGGAACACAAGGCTGGGGGCAAACTGAAAAATGAAATGGTTAATTTATTATTTTTTTTTCTTTAAAAAGATTAAAAAATATTGTTATTATAAAACATGCCTGAGCTACTGCCTGAGGGAATATCACTTGGGTTGATTTTGTCCAGATGAACCCTGGCACCCCTGGAAGAGGGTATTCTAGGGCCCTTATTGGAGGACACCCCAGGGCCCAGTCCAGAAGTAAACTGTCTGTTGCTGGTTCCCGGATTTCTCGGATGTACAGTAGTTTGCGTATTTACAGGATTTGACCGGATCTGGCGGGGGGGTGCTGGCACGCTGCTACCGGCCAACTCGACCCGGTCAGTGATATTAGGTGGTAGCGGTACATTTTCTTTCTCTTCTCCAGGTTTATTGTTAGAAAGTTTAGCTTTAAGTCCTAGATTTTCTTCTAGAAGATTTTGCAAGTACTTGCCATTCTCAGCAAACCCTGCATTAATAAATTATCTTTATCAAAACTCTCATAATAATAAAACTTATCAAATTATTCATTAAAAAATCATATTTGTGGAATAACTGTAATTAAGATAATTCCTTTGTTCTGGTCGATTTCTTGAAGAGAAGGAATAGTTTCAGCAGACTTATTCTCATAACTCCTAGAATAATTTAACTATCAATTAATCATTCACCTTTCTAATATTCATCAAGAATATAAATCAATCAGAACAACAATCAAACCATAAGCCGTCAATCGTTAAATCCATAATTCCATGAATACATAATTCCATAACTCCATATATACATAATTCCATAATTCCATAAATACATATTTCCATAACTCCGTAAATAAATAATTCCATAAATACATAATTCCACAAAAACATAATTCCATAGATATATAAATCTATAAATACATAAATCTATAAATACATAATTCCATAAATACATAATTCCATTAATACATAATTCCATAAATACATTATTCCATAAATACATAATTCCATAAATACATAATTCCATAAATACATAATTCCATAAATACATAATTCCATAAATACATAATTCCATAAATACATAATTACATAAATACAGAATTCCATAAATACATAATTTCATTAGTCCGTAATCTATAATTCCATTAATACATAATTCCATAACTCCGTAAATACATAATTCCATAACTCCGTAAATACATAATTCCATAAATATGTAATTTCATAAATACATAATTTCATATATACATAATTCCATGAATACATAATTCCATAAATACATAATTTCATAAATACATAATTCCATGAATACATAATTCCATGAATACATAATTCCATAAATACATAATTTCATAAAAACATAATTCCATGAATACATAATTCCATAAATACATAATTCCATAAATACATAATTCCATAATACATAACTCCATGAGTCCGTATAGTCAATAATTCCATAATTCCATAAGTCCATAAACCTGTAATTTCATGAGTACATAATTCCGTAAATAAATAAATCCAAAAATCCGCCAAACTATATTTCCATTAATACTTTTATTCATCCATCCAAAAATCAATTAATTTACGTGTATTTACATAATTTATACCTAATGACATCCTTAAGTTTAGAATCTGCTTGTAAAAAGTGTCTTCTCCAGAAATCTCTCTCAGCCTTAACACAGTTTCATTTAGAAGAGAAAAACACACAAAAAAAAAAAAATTAGGAATAAGTTGTGTAGTACAGTTGAATTTGTGATCTTCCTTTTTTAGAGTGGCATGTTGCATGTACAACGACACCTTCAAGCTTTGTTCAATCAATAAATAAGACATTTAAGTTATTCTCTTTAAAACTTGAAAACTGTCAGTAGTGGTTTCTCTAAAAAAGTGACTTACGGAATTTATGATATTGAAACAATGAAGTAATTTGTTTAAATTAAACACTTTTCCAACTAGAAATTATCCTCATATTTTCCACATTATTAATCAGAGAAGGGTTTGATAGGTTTAACCAAATAGATTCTAGTACAATTGATGGCAACGTACACTCTCAGTACAGCTGTTTTCTGACATCACAAGTGTCAATTCAGTTTTTGTGTCCTACAAAATTATCAATGATAGCGATAATTTTAGAAACATGTCAACTAATATGAGAAAAATTTGGTTTTCCTTGTTATATTTGACACTTGTGACGTCGTGTACAATTGATCCATTTCTCTGTTGCCATCTATTGTACTTGATAATCTATTTGGGTATACCATTAGAAAAACGGTTCTTTCAATTTATATTGTTCTAATAAATTTGTTTTCGAGGATCTCTAAAAAACTGTATTTCCTGAAGTGCTAGGATTGATTTCTCCGCTAGTTTAGCGGATTCCGATCCTCTAGCAGAGTCCTGAATAGCGGATCTAGAGGAAGGTGGAGCAGTGCTGTAATTATTTCCGCTAACCACTAATCAGTTAAAATTTTAAATTAGAAGTAAAAACTGTATTACAAGATTTTTCAGATTCACAGCAATTTTAACTATTTATGTTCCTTTCAAGGACTGATAACAAATTCTTGATAAATCTTTAAATTAGAAAGTGTCAGAATTCAGGTCACAAGGAATCTTAACCAATACTCGTGTTTCAATAAAATCTACACCCGATAGAATATGATTTTTTAAGAAAAAACGAGCATGCAAATGGCCAATCTTTATCCCATTCTTAGAATATGCATATAATTATAGGTGTGTGTCACTTATGTCTATTTTTAATTAAAAAACCAAGGGTCATAAGATAATATAAGGGTTAGATCCGGAAAACAATCTTCTGTTGACTACAAACTAATTTCAAGTTTTCCTTTTCTCGTTCAAGTATATAAATCTTATCTAAACAAAGATCAAAATTAGACTTAAGCAAAAAAAAGATTTTTGTACACGGTCAAAGTATATTAAATATTTTCCAGGGTAAGTTTAGGTTTAGACAAGTTCTGCGATCACAAGTCATATTTTTTTGACCATGTACATTTTTCATGAAGGGGATGGGAGCGGGGGGTCCAAAAATTCTTCTCCAGGAAATAACCAAAAGATAATTTAGATTTTTTGTCATAAGATTAAACGATTTTATTATGGAAACAGTTCAGATGAGTGATTACCGTGGAAATGTGTTTACTATTACTTTTAAGCTTCATGAAAATATCAAGAAAAACTGCTTTTTTGACAAGAATGTAAACTATAACGTAAAAAAAGTATATAGGTCCGAGCACTGCAACTGCGGAAGGCTAGAAGGCCCAACGGTGCTACATCTGGTAAAAGCTAAGATTGCAAACAGAATAAGTCAAATATAGTTTGACTTGAAAGGGGAAGGGGGGGGGGGGAACCGAACATCAACTGGCTAGGTTCGACCCATTTAACTCTTAAACCAAAATTGCATTTGCCTCCCCTAAATGAAAAATAGGACCTAGAACGTGTTATGTTCTTCACAATTGCGTTATGTTCTTCACAACTAGAGAGAGCCCCCCCCCCCCTCCGATTTCTATAAATGTTCTACATGAAGTTAAATAAAACTTGTTAATTAAGTTTCCTACCAAGATTAGCATAGGCTAACGTCTTTTCCATTTTAATTAAAGCAGAAAGAACATATTTTCTAAAGTTGAAAAATCATTTGATTTGTAATTATACATTTTAATTGAGTATTTCTGGTATCGTATAAGATACGAAATAAATGGTGTTAAAACATAGATATAAAAAATATAGAGCGTCCCATTTTTCTCTTATATTCTCTTAAATTCATATAGATGAACAGTCATTTAATTGCAACTACGTTTGCCATATATAATATAAAATATTTCTAAATTACATTGCAGTTCTGTTCATGTTCACAATTTTAATTTAAAGCTGAAAAGTCTGCAACTACGCTTGCAAAATTATTAAATAAAGTCGTTGATTAAACCTTAATCAATGGAGAGCTCTGCGAAAAGCATCTCATTACAGCAATAGGTACGAAGATAGAATGAGACAGTTTTTCTCTCTATAATTCTACAAATGATCGAAAACTATTGTTGATTTATTTTGTATTGAATAAAGTTGTTAAGAAGAATTTTTCTTAGATTATATTCAAGCTTTATCGCCATAATACGATCGTACTAGTCGTACTCGTACTCGTACTACAATATGTTCTTTTATTGCGAATGTGTTTGTTTTGTTTTTAAATATCCCTCCGATTTTAGGAATTTAATATTTGGTTTGGTTTTATGTAAAATAAAGCAAAGACGATATTTATCATTTTAGTTATTTTGTGGAAGAAGATATCGATAATTTTAGAAAAAAATCTTTTAATTCAAACTGAAATGTGTTGCAAAATGCATATTTATGTTTGAAATATTCGAAAATTTAAATAAATAAATCTTAAGGGTTTTCTAATTTTAATGCTTACTCTGACCAATAGATGCCTCTAGTAATATTTGTTTAATGCCAATATCCGCCGCCAGGGCAGTTTAACACAACAAAATGGCGCACTCTAGCACCACTGTGGGTCAAATTCAAGCAACACGTGTACTGTGATGAGCTTGAAGCGTCAATAAACACCGTTTAAGTGATGCAATACGCCAACAATTGCGTAAAGTGAATGTATCATTAAAAAGGCAGAATTGTTTGTGTTTTGTGAAATATTGTGGATTGAAAATATACCCGGCATTTGAGATTTGTCTCAACGAACTCAGCTTTTTCCAACAGGTGAATTATTCAGCAGTATATAACAAGCTCAAAAATCGGGTGATTCAATAAATTTTTTCTGGTCCTGTGTTACATGTCATGCATTAAAAATAAAAAAAAATTAACCAAAAATTATTCTGAAGTTACGTCGAATTTGTTATGTAATGGCTGACAAAAGGTGAAATAACGTTTTTGCGCGATCGTATCATTTGATATCTTGGATTTGTTGTATTGTATTGATACAAACTGTTTATGTGTATTGTGATTACTTGTTCAAATGTGATTTGAGATCAAAACTGTTTAAAACATTGTTAATCTTGAACGCTTGATCTTTACATCACTTTTAGTATGAAGATTAATTATTGTTACACAAATCTTTATTGGTACTTATGCGATACATTGAAAAATTAACATTAAAAGAAATCATAGGGTTTCACATGTAGTAGTCTGAGGATTAATGGGTAATTTCTTAGAGAACGATTTTTGGACCCCCCTCCCCCGCTTCTATCAATTTTGTACTTGGATCTCATATGCAACACATGAAAATAAGTAAACAGTAGCGCCCGGCCCCCTAGCCTGTCCTAGCCGCGGCGCTCGGCCCCCAAGCCTTAGGGTGCTCATGATAAAGATTCGTAGTATTTAATAAATCAGCTTACAGGCTATCTTGAAAGTCCATTTCCTTCGATTTGTTGTTAAACTTATGATCTTTCTATACTGGGGGGAGGGGGGGTTAANATTTTAATTTATTTTAGACCAGTCAAGATGGCGGGCGAGGGGAAAGAAGATGAATTTACTCCCCTGAGGGGAAGTGCTCCACCTCCTGGGAGGGTGGGAGGAGGCGTTCCCTTCTCCCCCTTCCCCTACGGATCCCCTTTGCAGCGGGCAGGGCCAAGTCCCACACCAAGATCAGGATCTAAATCTGATTCACAGAAAATCTTTCAAACTCCATTTTCCGGGTCTCCGGGTCAGAAACTACTGCTTTCTTCTTTCTTCAGGTACAATCTAAACCTCATTTAAAGCAACCTGAGGCCGAATTTTAAGAATTTGATCCTCGGCTTAGATTTAAGACGCGGCTCAAATATGGTTGGTTTCACTTAAAATTGTCTTCAATGTTTCAAGATTTAAGCCGGTGCTCAATTTAAACCGGTTTTTGGCAGATTTGAGACGCGGCTCAAATTCATTAATTTCGGACACTGCTGATTCAGAATTTCCGATTCACTTCGGCACCCTATTCGCCATTTTCTTAGTAACCACTAGAAACCTAACGTTGTTTTCCTGTCAAATAAGTGTCACTTTAATTTTGGAATCAAAAAAATAAAAACATTTATTATAGAGATTCAAAAATATCTTTATCATTGTTGTTACGACGATGAGGCACCGTTGTTAATCTGGATTGCAACTCAAATATTGGGTTACTACGTGGTTTCAATTACAGAGATCTTTAAGCGTATTATAAAAAGACCCTCGATGTAAGGATGACAATGCCTGTTTCACAACGGTATCCTTGTACCCTGAATCTGATAAAGTATGAATTAGATATTAATTTTTATAATTTTCAAAAGTGATCATATTCAAATGAGGTTTCTCTTCAAAAGTTTTAAGAATTATTAGAATTAAACCTTCTAAATCACGAATTGTTTGAATTGAGAAGATCAAGGAATGAGTTTTTATTTAAGAAGTACCTCTGATCCAAATTGCTAATTTTAATTTACTATTCAGAGATGGCGCCAGCAGCGAGGATAGAAGTTTAGTAAATGGAAGCGTAATCACTCCACGTTTAAAGGGGCAAGATCTCTATGGAGGTAAACAAAACATTTGATTTTCAAAATGATTAAATCATTCTTACAATTTAAAAAAGTTTGCAGGTTTTTATCAATAAATGTTTGAGTTTAACATTTAAAGGGATGTATTACATAAAATCAAATATATCCTTCTAGGTCCTGTAATGTTCGGAAGCTCTGCTCGTAAAACCAGGTTACTCTCATCTACTCCATACAGCTCTGCACTCAGGTATACAATACATTTATTAATTACTACATGAATTTATCATTTTTAATCAATTAATTGATACATGAATTAATTGATAAATGAATGAATTAATAGATTAGGTTATTGATAAATCAATTAATGAACTAATTGATTAATTAATTGATGAATTAATTTATAGATTAATGAATTAATGAATTAACTAATTTGATTTAATTAACGTTTGAATTGAGTATAATATGAATTGCTTAATTTATAAATAAATCAATCGATAAAGGATTAAATTGATATAAATTGACAAATACATGCATCAATTTATATATAAATGAATTATTAGTGTACAATTTAATTAATAAATGCATCCAGTAATAATTTAAACAATTAATAATTGAATCAATTTATGAATAAATCAATTAAAAAATTATTCAACATCAATAAATTGTGTAATCCATAAATGAATGAATCAATAAATAAAAAATCAATTAATTTAAAACATTGCATATTGCAATCAAACATAAATGTTTTTTTCTTCGAAATTCGAAAACGCCGGGCACTCGAGCTAGTATTTATTAATGAATAATGTTTAGATTACGAGATAGAGATCGGCAGAAGTCTAGATCTATTTCTGGAACCGTCGGCCTTGGCGGTACCATGGGACTACCCGCCGGCGGGTATACAGGGCTCGGCGGGAATACAACCGCCGGTGGCAGCGTAGGAACAACATCAATGCAATCCTCCAACTCTTCACGTGGTTCATCCGGGGGATCTAGTCCAGGTTAGTTCGAATCCTTTATACAAATCCAGGGGTGTATATTGTCTCGACAAATCGTTCCCCTGCCCCCTTCCATCTTAAAAATCATGTTTTCCCTCTAGAGGTAAGGAATGTTTAAGACTCTAAAAAAATGTTTATGAATATTATTAGGGAAAAATAAATAAATTTTTATGTTGAAAGCACATAAACTAAAAATGAATAAAAACAAGATTATTCAACCTGCCACCATTTCGGAAAAAAATATCAACTAAATTAAAAAAGATTTGAGTGTTAAATGTCGTCGTCTTCTGACAAAAGAAGTTTGTCCTTAGTCAAAGGAACTCTATCCCCCAGCAAACTTTGACTTCCTGGATCCGGATCCGAAAAAATATGCGGATCCACGGATCCGGACCTAAGGGGTAAAATGTCAACCAAAAACTGCAAAAAATAACTATTTCACTCCTGAACTTATGAAAAAAAAGAGAGATAATAAAAATTTCCTCATTTATAGAGCGGTTCATCAAGTTTTAGGATAAAAATAAGCGAAAAAAAAATAAAACAATTTGAAAATTATTTTTTGTTAAAAAAATTCAGTAGATCTTAAAGTAATGACCTGGATCCGGATTTGTTTTTCAGATTTTGAATCAATTGTAAATAGGTCCTTGTTTTCAATATAAATAGAATATAAAATATGCTCCTCTTTATTTACTAATATTTTTATTAACATGTAGACCAATATTTAAGTAAGCGTGGCATGCCAATTAATTGATTCACAATGGAACCCTCTAAACCTCTATCTGATCAACAAAAGGGAAAATATCGTTATTTTTCCATCTTAACATTAAATTCTGACAACCTACTTAATTTTCTCCACCAGCTACTAAATAAAGATCTCATTGATCCTTGTAACGACAAAGGCTTTAATTGGAGGGTCACTTCAAATTCTGTACACATTTTCTTTTAGCCATATTTTGGTTTACCAACAATTCTCGATAAAGTTTATTTTTTTCCAACGCTAAGGCTCCATTTCATTTTGATGCGGATCCAGGACGGTGCTTCCTGCGCCTGGGCGGTCTGGGGGTTCCACAATGGGGCCTCTTGCAGATTTCAATTCCTTTTAAATCCTTATGAATATTTCTTTATGATTCACTGATTTTTTTTGAGCAAAAGAAGAATTTTAAAATTGGTTTCTACATATTTAGCTTATTTCTCCCCTTTGATCTGGCGGATCCGGATAAAAGAGGCCAAAATGTTGTGGATCCAACGGATCCGGATCCTAAGCATTATTTTTCTTATTCCGTACTTTCCCTAGGACGCTATGAAGATGCCGGTGGCTCGTGCTGAAAAAAGAAAAATCGTCGAGGACGAACTAAACATTTCCCTTGGAATCCCGTCTCGTCGGCGGCCCCGCCTTGGGGCGGGTACTCCTGGTTCCTCCCTCTCCGGTCCTCCTCTCAGGAAGAACTACTCCCCACTCCCAGTTTCCTCTACACATCGTAATAGATTAACTCCTGGTGGAGCGCCAGGGCGGAGCTCTCCTGCCACACCTACTTCTAGTGGGGGATTCCTAGGGCGGAGTACATCTGCCAAACCTACTCCAACTCCCCTAGCACCTCCTACATCTTCTAGTTCTCAATTCACAGAGTCATCATCAATTCCTAAAACAACATTCGCCACTCCTATTTCTTCTTCCGCCACCCCATCTCTTACCTCCGCCGCAAGTTTAACACCTTCTTCTCAACCTTCCCTCTCCTCCGGTTTATCATTCCCCCCGTTCTCCCTCTCCTCCGCCCCCTTTTCCGCCTCGACCCCTTTCTCTCCGCCTGAGCCCAGCCTGTCATCCGACTCCTTGAAGATGAAGAGTAAGGTTAGTGAGGTTGTGAGGAGTAGAGGAGTACAGGAGGAGAAGGATGAGGAGATACCTTCTCATCTTACAAATGATATTCCAGTTCTGAAGGTTAGATTCATTACAGGGGTATAATTTTATCAATTATTCCTCCTTTCCCTTGGGCAATAAATTTTATGACAACATGCAGCCTTTTTTATTTTATCTTCTCCGTTGCCTTAAAACAAAATAAATGTTTGTTTTTTTTGTCAAGATTTTTAAAGAAATGTTTGTTATATGTCAAGATTTTAAAAGAAATGTTTGTTCTATGTCAAGATTTTTAAAGAAAATGTAATTCTATTTTAAACTTATAAACTTAGCTTTGAAGCAAAAATGTGAAAGAATTCACTGCCGTAAATTGGGAATATTAGCACATTAGGAAAGCATGATTTAAATGATAAAAAGTCTACTAAAGTGGTTAATCTCAATGTTGCGGGAATAGAATTGGGATCCATTAATCACTAAGGATTTTAGAAATGTGTAATAGGAAAACTAAGCCATAATATGTTTATTGTTTATATTCAACAACGAGTGTTGGAAATTAAATCGTATAAGAAATTAGGTCCGTTTTTTATTCCGTACAGTCGTCTTCCTATTTCTGTGTTTTACTGGTCTGACTGTGTTAGTTTTTAATCATATCTATTTAGGTTCCCTCTGCTCTCCCCTCCTTCAATTTCCAGCCCGCCCAACCCATCTCAAGCATGAAGTCCGCCCCTTCTCCTGTCTCTAGTGCATCCAGCTCCTCACCCTCAATAATGTTTTCTTTTAATAAACCATCAAATCCATGCCAGGACTCTGTCAGCACCAAAGACGCTCCATCCGTAGTTGTCAAAGACACTGTGAGCTCCAAAGACACCACCATGGACAAAGTTAATTCGAAAGACACTGTTATCTCTAGTGAGACTTGTTTAGAAATCTACTCGTTCAGATCTCCAGTGGTTGTAACTAGGAAACAAGGTGTGGGTAGTGTTGGTGCTCACTACTCATTCACATCTCCGACCCATGTCAAGTCTGTGTTGGCATCCAGAAACTTGGGCGGAAACTTTAAAAGCGCGGCCATGCCAGACGTGACATACAATTTTAAAACCAAAACTGGAGAGGGTATAAGAGGTAATTGTTATACTTAAGGAGACTCGATGCTATTTTAAGTGACACTGACGCTTGATTCACAACGGTACCCTTATTATTATGTGGAAGGCTGTGTCGGTTTTTAATTTGAAAACTGTTCCAATACTTTTTATTTCTGCAGTGGAAATTAAGTCACTTTTATTTTAAGAAGAAATCACAATTAAAAATAATCAAGTTTTAAATAAAAAAAATATGGATTTTTCTTACTTGATCAGACTTGAAGCTTTTAACGGGTACCATTGTGAATCTGTAATGCAACTTTATAATGGAGGATCACTTGAAATTACGTTTACGATTTATCATGGTTTCTGTTAAGAAGTTAAATACTTTTTATTTCTGCAGTGGAAATTAAGTCACTTTTATTTTAAGAAGAAATCACAATTAAAAATAATCTTGTTTAAAAATTAAAAAATTATGAATTTATAATTCTTACTTGATCAGACAAAGCTTTTAACGGGTACCATTGTGAATCTGTAATGCAACTCTATAATGGAGGATCACTTGAAATTACGTTTACGAGTTATCATGGTTTCTGTTAAGAAGTTAGGTTGGGGGGTTTACCAGATGTAGCTAGTTCATGGTTTCTGTTTAAGAGTTGAGAAGGGGGGTTTACCAGATATAACTAGTTCATGGTTTCTGTTTAGGAGTTGAGAAGGAGGGATTACCAGATGTAACTAGTACATGGTTTCTGTTTAGGAGTTGAGAAGGAGGGGTTTACCAGATATAACTAGTTCATGGTTTCTGTTTAGGAGTTGAGAAGGAGGGATTACCAGATGTAACTAGTTCATGGTTTCTGTTTAGGAGTTGAGAAAGGGGGTTTACCAGATATAACTAGTTCAAGGTTTCTGTTTAGGAGTTGAGAAGGAGGGTTTACCAGATATAACTGCTAGTACAAGGTTTCTGTTTAGGAGTTGAGAAAGGGGGTTTACCAGATATAACTGCTAGTACAGGGTTTGCTCCGGCCAAAACTCTAAAGATGGGAAGTGTCATGGATATTCTAGGTAAGTTGATAAAATTATAAAATTAAAAGTATTGAAGGCAAGGCAATAAGTGCAGGAGAGTTCAATCATCTTCTTTTTCAAAAATGATCTTTATAATTTTGGTTTCTTTGTATATAGTGATTTGCGAATTTCTGTTTCAGAAACAATTGTAGGAAATTTTCAGAATTAAACTTAAAAACTATATCTTCCACCTCATAATGACATTCCCAATTAATTGATAATATTGTTTTCAAAACAGTGCTTTATGCTCATATTGAGTGAAGGGAACTGGGGGGTCCTTATTCACCATATTGATCAAAACTAGAGGGAATGTTTTTTTTGTTTTTATTTTATTTTCTCAGTCTTCTATTTGTAATAAAATAAGAATTTTTTATTTGTTTGTTGAAACAATATATATAGGGACCAGAACATATAAAATGGTACACGTGTATCCGACCTAGAGGATGTAAACTGACAATATAGGGACCAGAACATATAAAATGGTACACGTGTATCCGACCTAGAGGATGTAAACTGACAATATAGGGACCAGAACATATAAAATGGTACACGTGTATCCGACCTAGAGGAT